CCCCAAAACCCCAAAACCCCAAAACCCCAAAACCCCTAGCTCTTTGGAAAATATTGAAATAGAATATTTAAATTGTGGTTTACAGCTAGGTCTTATAGTTTGGAACCAAAATTTGTGGCCAAGAGAGGGTTTAGAGGTGAAAAGTGTAGATGAGTAGGTTATTGACTGGATAAATTAGCTTTGATAATTTTTTGGTGAACTGCAGGTTTTTAAGTTGGCAAAATTAGGGTGAAATTTTTTTATCTGCTTTGGCAAAGCTTTCTTTAAATGTTTAACTCATTTCTAAAAGGCTCTTTGAATGCCAATAGCTTTAAGACACTGTTAATTATACTCTTATAGCTCTGATAGTCTTGATGGAGATACTCCTAGACTTTTCAAAAAAAACTAAAAGCCCAAATTGCATCCTAATTATCCATACTAAAATTTATGATTTTTATGCTGGGAAATCATGACAAACTGAGAATTTGGAAGAAAGTCTTCAAATAGTATTTTTCAAGTTATACGATACTGGGCATTGGGCAAGCACTCTAGAGAGATTTAGCAGCTCAGCTTCTAGTAGATATTAAGTTCATTCTTGAGATGGTTTTTACTTTAGAAGGCACCCCTTCTACACAAATAGAGTTTTGAGTTTCAATTGTCTCTTCTGACTGGAGTTCCTGGATATAGTCAAGCCTTCTCTGCCTTGAATTCTGATCTAACTTGCTCTCCTCAATATGGAGGGAGGAATTATGTGAACTATGTACTTTTCTTGATGGATCTTGGATAGAATCTAGATTCCCCTTTGTAATAAAATTGAACTTTGACAATATTGCGGCATTCCTCTGCAAAGCGTCTTCGTTATAGGAGGAGAAAGCTGCTTCAATTTCTGAATCACTCTCTTCATTGTTGAAGTCTCCTGGCCTGCTGCTTTGAGTGATCCGAAGTTTTAGAGGTCTTATTATACACTGTGGCGCCAGACTGGTCTTGGAAGAAGTTTTTCAAGTCTTTATCAGATGTCTCCATTGTGTGATGCTTCTTCATATCTTCATTAAAGATCTTCTTGAAAAAAATATTCTTTATTTTCGATTCTAAGACCACTCTTATCTTGGGAAGTTGTGTTCTTTTGTCCCATGAAGTGTTTGATATTTCTGTCCTTTTATTTTGTTCAGTACTAAAGAGGTCACTATCGGGTTGAAAATTTCCCTTTCGACCAAGAAAATCAGATACCAGGGAGATGACCATCTCCAAAGTCTCTAGGTCATATTTGTCCACATAAGGGTTCTTCTGAGAGATCGCCTTGACATTATTTGCCATTTTACCATTTTAATGGTTACAGGATCACCAAGATTTGCAAAGGTTAACTTTGAGGCCACATTGTTTTTCAGTGAATTCTGGTCATTTCCTTTTCTTTTCTTCCTGGGTTTTCGAAGCCAGAATTGGCTTGGGAAGACTTGTTGTAGGTCACGAACATTTTTCTGCTTTGGCAAGGTTCTTTATATTTTGGAATTTTTCTGGTGAATTATTAGCCTCCTCTTTCAGGTTTTGAATAATTTGGCTGAACTGGTGAGTGCACTTTCCTTTACTAAAATGATTTTCTTTGGATGAGCGAGGTTTTGGAGGGTTAGAGATGCTTTTAGAAGCTTTCTGGAGCTTATCGTTTGTCGAAGGCTTTAATTTCATCTTATTTTCCTGAGCTTGATGTTTAATAACAACATGGTCAATATTCCTAAAGTTTACGTCAAGGCTGATGCGGAAAAATTGTTTGTTGTGATCAACAACTTCAAGCTTGTTTTGGTCAAGAAAGCCAGTGCCCTCTTCTGTGTCTTGCTTGGAAATTTCATTCTTGTCGTTCACATCGATCTGGATAACCCTTCTGATTCCTTTTCATACTATTGGTTAAGAAAAATGTCTTACTGTCTATATTATTGAACCTTTTATATTTGTGTCAAGACTCAAGTACAAGATCATTGATTTGGTGGAGGATACTTTGAGACTGCAGCTGCGAAGTAGAGTCTTTGCTATCAATCTTTTGTATGAGGCTGAAGGATATCATGACACAGGTTTTTCCTGCCCACTTGTTCTGGTTAAACTCCATGTCATAGAGTTCATCATTGAGCCCTTGGACAATACTGATTCAACTGATTTAGTTCAACTAAAATTGTTGATAAAGTCTATTCAGGAGATATGTAGCTGCATCTGGACATTATGTGGAGCTTTATAGCTCTGGCTTAATCCACTGAAGAACCTGCTCTTGTCGTAATCTACCATAAGTTGGGACAAATTTTCAGGGATAATTCCTTTTAAATATCTACTTATGAATTTCTCAGTTTTGGTACTGATAAAAAGATTTCTCCAGTTTTAGTGGTAATAACAATATTTCTCGAAGTGTGTTCGATCATTTTTATTAGAAAATTGTTGTTCCTCTCTATTAGTTTGACTTTGCTCCTGTTCAAGTGCCAGACTAGGATGAGAATTAGGATAAAGAATAGATAATTAGAGTCTGGCAAAGATATAACACTCTCTTCCTTGCTTAGATTAGTAATTAAGTAGGTCTTCTGTATATGAAAGAGAATGCAAAGGTAGACAACACAGTTGATAACCCCAAAGAGCCAGTATTGCCAAATAGGACATAGTGTTATAAAGTAGAGAATTTTGATAGTAATGTGCCAGTCCTTTATGCTTTTTTCTTGATTAATTTTGAGGCATTTCAGATCATAAATTCATAGGCAAAAGATTATTAAAATTCTCGACATAAATCTTAAGTTAAATAACTACAAAATAGCAGCAGATAAAGATATTTTTAAAGCCCATGAAAGACATAGTATCATATTTATATTTTGGTCCATAAAGATGTTTTAGCTCCTTTTAAATTTGGTGCAAAGGCTTTTGCAATGATTTTCAGGTTCTAGTGCTATGCCAAAATTTCCCGTATCGGCAAGCATCGCAAACTTGTTCTTACATTTAACATTGCCCTCTCTAGAATATTTAGGAGATAGCTTTGTAGCTTCCATTTTCTTTTTATTAGTTCATATTTAGCTCTATTTGGCCTTTATATCTCGGGGTTTTGGGGTTTTGGGGTTTTGGGGTTTTGGGG